ATACTCGTTCTTTTACAAACTCTTAAAGCTTGGAGATCCTTTACTTTTCTTTAGTTCGTTCCAGGCCAGAATATGCATCTCTTGTCTGGAACCTTATTTATAATATTCATAAAAGATCATTGGAAAATGTTCAGCGGCGATCTCTTAAGTACCTTTCTTTTAAAATAGATGAGCTGTATATAATTCGAGGTATTGAAGAATCTCTGCTTTTTTCGAAAAAAGAAGGGTAATTTTCAGTGTTACATTTTTTTATAAAATATTACATAACACTATTGATGTACTATTTTTGATAAATTAAATAAATTTTAATTTTCCCCAAACAGCCATTAGATATCATAAAACATTTTATACAGCAAGTATTTGAGCAAACTTGGGAAGAAATTCACCTATAAGGCTAATGTGCTGAAATTTTAATTAATTTTGTTCTGATTGGGATATTTATTTCGACCATTAGTTGTACTAATTTGTAGCTAATGTATTTAGGATTCTTTCTTTTTTTTTTCTTGCTGTTGCTAAAATTATTTTCTGTCGAAATATTATTTCATTTATTTCATGTATTTTGTTCTGTAAATGGATTAATTTGTTGGGCAATAAAATAATTTTTATTTTATTAAGCAAAAAAATGTTTATTTTGATGCACCTACCACCTTTAAAAGTTTGTCAGTATATTAACGAGAAATCGTATATAATTCCCAAAGAAAAATATTTTTGGAATAAATTCCGAATTCTATTTATTGATATTTGTTATTTTTTAGGTTCAGTGACTCGAAACATGATGATCAGCTACACCAAGAATATCCTTGATACTTTAAAAAAAATGGTACGAGATTAAGCAGATTTGATGCTATGTCACATTGTGGTGCGAAGACGTGGCTTGTATAAATTTGGGGTATCAGTTGATAGAAAACAGTACGCAAAAATAAATTTAAATCTGGAGATGCATCAGAGATAGCCATATTCCATACCACAATATGTCATGCGTGAACTCGATGAGATTTCATCGGCTAAGTATCTTTCCTCTGTAATGTTTTGTATCATTAGGAACACGCAACATTGTAAACAATTATGACCAGGGTTTTTTGACCTTTTCCTTAGGTCAGAGAGAATAAGTGAATACTAAAAATAATGTATAGTAATAAAGATTGAAAATATATATACTTTTAAGAGTTTTATTATGTCAGCCATAGTTTTATACCAAAAATGAAAATAAACTGAAATTATACATTAAAAATACATTCATAAATAACTATATGTATAACACTCATCGACTCTCTCCTGGCTAAAATATGACTTATCTATCTATTAGGCTCTGTTCCGTCGTATTTTTTGCCTTTAGCCTCCTTCTGACACTTCCATTCGTTCTTATTCAGTGTAGTATTCACATAGTTTTCAGAATATCAAGTGTTATACCTATCTGATGCTTGGTCCTGCAATGTTCATCTTCAGTACACCTGCTTATGTGACATCTATCTCGATGTCAAGTTTGATTGAACACCCGTTTCTTGCCTATTACTCTTATACTTATACTTTTACCGCTGGTTTCATTACAAAAAACTGGAGTAAAGGGTAAAATTATCTCTTGTCCAGTACACTCGTATAATACACTTGAGTATTGCCTGTATTATTTTTTGATTGAAGACGTATACATTTAAAAATGTCGTTTACTTAAAAATAAACATTTAATTTTGATATTTTATTTAACTCGATCAAAACATTAAATTATTATTTTCCATGGCTTATACCGGACCTGTATGTACTCTAGTAGCCATGGAGTAGCTGACAGTGTTGCCGTCAGTTGCCGCCACATATTCATAAGTGACATACGTTTTATAAATTCATCGTGTTAGAAATTTGTTGACATAAAGAGATAGAAATTTAAAGTGACGTCTTTTATTACTTCGAATGAAAAAATCGATAATGCAATTTTCTAACCTAAAAAAAATCGTGATGATATTGCTGCGTTTGAGAATCCACATCGGATGCATTTTTTACATCTCGAGCGTTTTTTTATCCACATCGGACACATCTGTCTCATTACATTTACGTATACTGAATCACGTGATCAAAGATTTTTTACATCTCAGATGCATCCGATGTGGATTCTCAAACGCAGCACTTGTCAAACAAAATTGAACTTGGCCTTAATTTGGCTACCATTTTTAGGGCCCTATTCAGTAATTTATCGTTTATGAACGACATCGTTAAGCTAACGACAGTTCAACCAACGACTTTTATAACGATAATTTTTGAAACTCTATTCAATAACAAAGTCGTTACGTTGTTTCTAGTTACCAAATCTGAACGATGATTTCTAGTAAGTTGGTATTATAATTTAGTGTTTTGTGATAAAAGAACGTATGTTGATGATTATACCGGGTGTTTAAATTAAAGTTTTACAGTTAAATATCGACAAAAATATGAATTTTATAAAAAAAAAGTATCAGACAAAAGTTTTATAGTTTTTTAGGGGAAACATTTTGGCCAAATTATTTTTTTTATAGCTGACCATAATATGGCCATATCGAGGTGGATTTTTTTTCATATTGGAACCCTCTATTTTTTTACATAGGTATTCTTAGAGTTCATAAAAAAATAAGAAACTTCTAAATAAAACATTTTTTTATTGGATTTCTACTTATTGAGTAACACCCAAAATAAAACTATAAAACTTTGTTTTTTTTTTATAAAAGGCGGTATTTAACTGTAACCCTTTAATTTGAACACCCGGTATAGTTGACATTTTTTTAGGAACGTAAAATAAAAATTCAACCAGTAGATATATTCATTTGTTTTTCAGAATATATTAATTATTGTTCTTAACCTACAACACGATCAGGGGGTCGATTCTCGATTCGTAGGAATTCTGTTTCTCGCGGGCCATTTTTGCTGGTCGTATTGTATGTAGGGCTTATTAAAATGAGTATGGATATATTAAAAAAAACTGAGAACTATTCCAAAAGAATACAAAAAACAACTCGAGAACAGTACAAGATGTATTTTTTATTGGATTTGAAAGACAAACCAAATTTCTGTAGGTTACGGAGAAGTATAGGTACTTCCATAGGTTTTGTTACTGTTTCGCAGTGCTACTTTAGGAACAGCACTGTTAATAAGAATCCAATAGTAAATGGTTGAATGGGCAATCCTAACTTTGAATCCGATTTATTTTTAAAATAATTAAATAAATTAGAAAAAAATTCCTTACAAATTTTACTTGCTGTATTAGGTATATGGCAATTTAGTTGTAAAATTTGTAAAAAAGTGTTTTTATTATTTAGAACATATCCTGATTCATAATAAAAAATGAGAGGGAATGCAAAAATCACTATAACGACACTTCATATTATTAACGACAGCTCTTTGGCTATCGTTGATGAACGACAATTTTACAACCATATTTGTCTATTTTCAACGACAATCGTTGTCTACTGAATAAGAAAAGTCGTCTGTGAACGATTATCGTCTATTAACGACGTCGTTCAGAGTTACTGAATAGGCCCCTAAACTAGTGAAAGACAAGTTTGAGAGTTCCTGCGTTTTTTATTAACTAAAGTGACCATTAGATGGCGCCACTTCCTTCCACATAGTTCAAAGAATTAGCACATGGCGCTACAATACTGTATCGATTTTTAACATTGCCATTTCCATTCTAAAAGTAAGTGATCTGTGATCAGAAAACGAAAACAGTAGGTTCTTTCGTTCGTTGTTGGTGCAGTTTCCACCAGTGTAAATTACACCAGTTACACCACCTAATTTGCCCTAGTTTACTTTCTCCTTATTCCTTATACACACATATCGAGTGTAATTCACTCCTGCTAAATAGCTGGGGACCTATTTTCAAATCGTGTGAGTACTCATTTCTCTCAAGATTCTCATCAGAAATGTCATACGTCAATGTGGAAACGCTGTTTTTAAAGGCCTCGAGGATTAAAATTCTTAGGAGGATATTAATTATCTCTAAATAAACCGTGAGAAACAATCAGTGAGTTCACACTGGCCCTTAGGACCCTAAAAATACTGTTTTACGTTGACATATGACATTTCTCTCGAGAGAAATGTCATACGTCAACGTAAAACAGTATTTTTAGGGTCCTAAGGGCCAGTGTGAACTCACTGATTGTTTCTCACGGTTTATTTAGAGACAATTAATATCCTCATAAGAATTTTAATCCTCGAGGCCTTTAAAAACAGCGTTTCCACATTGACGTATGACATTTCTGATGAGAATCTTGAGAGAAATGAGTGCTCCCATACTTTGAAAATAGCCCCCCTGGTGGAGAAAATATCCACCAGTGGACACCACATCGCCGACAGAAAGGTATAGTGGGTTTTACACCGGGCCAAACGAAAGGTTTAGTGTACGTTGGTGTAGTTCATTCCTACACCAGTGGGACGAACGAAAAAACCTATTGAAGCAGAGAATTGAGGTTAAATAAATGCCAAAAAGGTTAATCAGTAAAATCGGTACATTTTATTATAATTATCAAACTATTAATTTTTTTAGATGTGGCCCGTTATATATACAGCCCTTAGGACATACGCTCCCTATGTAACGTTGCCCTTCGCAGCATTAGTTGGAGTTATTGGTTACAATTTAGAAAATTGGATATCTGATAAATATACACCCTATAATAGTAGGTATCTTTAATATAAAATCATTTATTTAAATGGTACGTGTTATTTTTAACTTTTGTGAAAAGTAATTCTTTAAACAATTCGCCATTCAAGGCATACAGTTTTGCATAAGTGATTTCAAATGTTGATTTTAGAGAACCTTATCGAATTTAAACAAATCTATTTCAAATTATTCTCATTTAGCAGTAAGAACTTTCAATCTCGACAATTTTGATAATAAAGGTAAACATCTGAATATATATTACAGTGGAAGTAAATTCAGTTTGTTTTAAATGGTGAAAAATAAAGTGCATTGTATTAATCATAAATATGTATTCTTATAAATCAATGAAAACAATGGAATGTATTTAGATATATTTTTTTTGTAATTTACCTATAAATAAAACTATTTGCAGAATCTATTCAAGAACAAAGAAGAGAACGGCTTTTAGATGAAGAAACATTAAACGGAGCAGCTAATGTAGAAAAATTAAAATACAAATCAAATGTTTTAGACACCAACTTATCACCTTCATTATCTTAAATACCTGTGATCTAGTTTTAATTAAATGTAAAGTGTTTAAATAAATATTAATGCATAACTTTTGTTATTCTCCCCTGTATTTCACAATGTTATTTTCAGTTTCATGCACCTCTACTTCATAAAGCAATTCAGATTTATCCATGACTTTTTTCATTTGATTCCAGATAAAGACCGTTAGGTTTTCTGTAGTACTTGGTTTGTCAGAAAAATAAAGAACATCAAGATCTAAGTTTTTGTGGTCCATTGGGTTCATAATAGCTTCTTGCATATATTTTTTTAAGTCAGTCATATTTATTATCATTCCAGTTGTAGGGTCAATTTCACCAAATAGTGTCACCTTTACTGAAAAATAACAATTCTATAGAATGAATGCAAAACTTATTCTTTTTATTTGATAAATGGTTTTTTTGCTTACCTATATAGTTATGCCCATGTCCGTTTAAATTATTACATTTTCCAAAAATTTGTTTATTTTCTACATCAGATAAATGTATACTAAAACATTTTGATGTAATAATGCAAATTATAAGGTTTACCAAATTTGTACTTTTCCTAAATATTTTTAATTTACCTGTGTAACCTGTGACAGGCTGAAAATTGTATTCGTCTAGTCATATATCCTTTTGGAGCCATCTATAATAAATTAATTATTGTAAATAAAATCACAAATACTTTGTATAATAAAAAAATATAGTAGTGGATTGTATTATTGTATAAAGAGAAAGTAAAAGTTGAAAAGTCTTTTGGTAGGTAGAGAGGGAGTAAACGTCAAACCACGTCGGGCGGCTCCGAGAATTTCACAGTAATGTTTACCTGCCAGTGTCGTTTCATAGAATAAGTAATTTTAAATTGTTATCAGCGGAACCGGACAATCGCATGTATTTATGGATTATAAATAATTATTAAACATGTATTATAATATTCAAATTATAATTTTACAAAATTTCAACAGCTATTCACAATTTATTAAACTATTTACGGCCATATGCACCATTCTTCTGTTAATAGTTATCAGAGAGTTAACTACATAACTGACTGTTAAATTGACAATTTTGTATTCACCATTACAACATACGACTAACAATCTGTTAAAGGCGTTGTTAATTAACAAACCAAATTTGGCCTGTTAATTTTACTTATCAGACTATTTTAATTTTACTTGTTTATTTTGAAGGGCTATATAAGGTTTTATAGGATATTGACAGTAATATGTACGCAACAGACTGATTTCTTACTGAAACTAGTACATAGATGGTGCATAGCAAATTCTGTTAACACACTGTTATTTTTTATACTACTGTTAGATAACAGAGGACTTAGCTGGACAATGGTGCATATGGCCGTTACTCGAAATTGTTATTAACATCTATAAAATAATTTTGTACGCCAATGTATCGCGTCCACTTCGGTAAAATCCGCTGCCAACCTGTCAATTTGTGTATAAAGTGGGAGAACTGGCAAAAGCATTTCCAACTTTTACTTCTGTTCACGGCGCACTATCTTCTGTTCTACATTGGCATTCTACCCCCCTCCAGTTCATTGAGGCGTATCTATTCCAATAGGCGAGTTCGGATAGTCAGGGGCTGGAGTGGGACAAATTTTAGGGTGCTTTTAAATGACATTTAAGCGTGTTAAACTGTCACTAATCGGACTAAACCGAACGCTAAAAGGGTCGTTTGGAGTTAAAAGTGTTAAAGGAGTCAAAGGAACTTGGCAGACCGAACGCAATGAATACATGATCGAATGCCATTGTTCTAGGCGAGTTCGGATAGTCAGGGGCTGGAGTGGGACAAATTTTAGGGTGCTTTTAAATGACATTTAGGGCCCTATTCAGTAATTTATCGTTTATGAACGACATCGTTAAGCTAACGACAGTTCAACCAACGACTTTTATAACGATAATTTTTGAAACTCTATTCAATAACAAAGTCGTTACGTTGTTTCTAGTTACCAAATCTGAACGATGATTTCTAGTAAGTTGGTATTATAATTTAGTGTTTTGTGATAAAAGAACGTATGTTGATGATTATACCGGGTGTTTAAATTAAAGTTTTACAGTTAAATATCGCCAAAAATATGCATTTTATAAAAAAAAAGTATCAGATAAAAGTTTTATAGTTTTTTAGGGGAAACATTTTGGCTAAATTAATTTTTTTATAGCTGACCATAATATGGCCATATCGAGGTGGATTTTTTTTTTCAAATTGGAACCCTATTTTTTTACATATAGGTATTCTTAGAGTTCATAAAAAAATAAGAAACTTCTAAAGGAAACATTTTTTTATTGGATTTCTACTTATTGAGTAACATCTACTTGAAAATTTTGCTGCGCGAAAAACAGTTGGCCATATTATGGTTTGATATAAAAAAAACCATTTTAGCCAAAATGTTTTATCCAAAAAACTATAAAACTTTGTTTTTTTTTATAAGAGGCGGTATTTAACTGTAACTCTTTAATTTGAACACCCGGTATATTTGACATTTTTTTGGAACGTAAAATAAAAATTCTATCATTAGATATATTCATTTGTTTTTCAGAATATATTAATTATTGTTCTTAACCTACAACACGATCAGGGGGTCGATTCTTGATTCGTAGGAACTCTGTTTCTCGCGGGCCATTTTTGCTGGTCGTATTGTATGTAGGGTTTTATTTAAATGAGTATGGATATATTAAAAAAAACTGAGAACTATTCCAAAAAAAAATACAAAAAACAACTCGAGAACAGTACAAGTTGTATTTATTGGATTTGAAAGACAAACGAAATTTGTGTAGGTTACGGAGGAGTATTATAGGTACTTCCATAATATAGGTTTTGTTACTGTTTCGCAGTGCTACTTTAGGAACATGACTGTTAATAAGAATCCAATAGTAAATGGTTGAATGGGCAGTCCTAACTTTGAATCAGATTTATTTTTAAAATAATTAACTAATTAGAAAAAAATTCCTTACAAATTGTACTTGCTGTATTAGGTATATGGCAATTTAGTTGTAAAATTTGTAAAAAGTGCTTTTATTATTTAGAACACATCCTGATTCACAATAAAAAATGAGAGGGAATGCAAAAATCACTATAACGACACTTCATATTATTAACGACAGCTCTTTGGCTATCGTTGATGAACGACAATTTTACAACCATGTTTGTCTATTTTCAACGACAATCGTTGTCTACTGAATAAGAAAAGTCGTCTGTGAACGATTATCGTCTATTAACGACGTCGTTCAGAGTTACTGAATAGGCCCCTTAAGCGTGTTAAACTGTCACTAATCGGACTAAACCGACTAAACCGAACGCTAAAAGGGTCGTTTGGAGTTAAAAGTGTTAAAGGAGTCAAAGGAACTTGGCAGACCGAACGCAATGTATGTGTGCCATATCTTATGGTTCTGCGTCTCGTTCGTCAGTGACAGCTGTCATTACCCAGACTCACGACGGTTTTGTGTGAAAAAACTAACCTTTGTTCAAAACTTTATTGAAATAGTGTAGAGATATATTTTGTGGGCATGTCTCTGTGGACAGAAGAAGAGAAACGTTCTCTTTTATTTGCTCTCCATCAATATGGTCCTAGTAACCTAACTGGCTTAAAAAATTCGCTACCTAATAAAACTGAAACAGAAATCCAACTGTTATGCAAGGAGCATTCAAAGTTAGCATTAAAAAAGCAAACAGATAAAAGAAAAGAAGCTCATATAAGGCGATGGCTACAAGTTCTAAAAGTGCTTAAAAGTGCACAAGAAGGCCAAATAAATGATGTAATATCCAGGGTATTGAAATATATTGCTTTATTCGAAAAGAGAGTAGATTCCAAAAATGTAGACGTTTCGTCGTGTTATTTAGCTTTGCATTATATGTTAAGTGGTCTTGTCCCAGAAGAATTAAGTAAAACAACAGACTATTTTGTGTTCGAGTGTTTACAAAAACTAGCAAACTGCTTAAAATATGGAAAAATGAGATCTTTTAAAACATATTTAACCACATTGCGCAATACTAGAGATCTACATAAGTATAGGAACAAGTCCAAGTCTAAAATTGAGAGTTCATTGTCTTTAAATCCTTTAGGAATACCAGATAATCTTTTGTACAATACAGCCACTAAAACATATTTGTAATAATAAAATATTTATGATAACACATATTATAATTTGTCATAAATGATAATAAAAAGAACTTTTTGACACTCCTAGATTCAACTGTTTTGTTTTATAATAAGAAACAAATTCCAATTAGTACATGGAAATCATACCAAAAAAGAAGTGTTGCCTTACATCAAATGAGGTATTTCTGATTTTTTTCACCAAGAACCTGTTATGGCAAAAGTTACTATGGACACTTTAAATAGACTAAATTTGCAATTAAATGAGAATAATCTGGTTTTGGTAGGCCAAATAGTTTTTAAGATATGGCTATTTAAAAGTTGCAAACTTTCAAAAAAAGGAAGTTATATAGTTTTTTTTTCAACAATTTTTATCCCTAAATAGTGGGTTTATTGGAAAAGTTACTTGTTTAGTTATTAAAGTCCAATAAATTCCCAACAAAATAAGACCAATTATGTCAACTTACACCTGAGACACAATTATGTAATTTTTAAATAGCCATATCTCATAAACTATTTGGCCTACCAAAACCAAATTATTTTCATTTATTATTATTGTTTAGAACATGTACGTGACATAGTCGATGAAGCTGCTCCTTTAGTTAGTGACAAAAATTATTCTAAATCACTACATGACAGGTAAAATCCAATACACTATAAAATGTAATGAAAAAAACTATTTTTTCTTTCTTCGAATTCTATATCCACTCTCGCCTTGAACTGGTTTATGTTCTGGGCTGAGACTGTATGTTGCTGGAGACCGTTCCACAGATATACAATTCTGTTGACTTTCTTCACTATATTAACAATGTGGGGTTCCATTTTTCATCTTTAGAAATGGTTACACCAAGATCCTTTTATTCAAGTCTTGTTTAATTTTGTGAAAGCTTTCCAGTGGCTTACAGTAGATCTTTCCATCGTCTGCATAAAAGTTAGCTTCAGACTCGATGATTTTGCATAAATTGCTGGTGTATAAAATAAATAACAGGGGACCCAAGACCGAGCCTTGTGGTACTTCACTTTGAACTGTGCAAATTTACTCTACTTAAAAAGTGTGCATAGTAACTTCTGTTGGCAAAAATTGACAAAAACTGAAAAAAAGTCCTAAAATTTAAAGAATTTATTATTACTTAACAATGATCTGAAGGGCTTTCGCGGTGGAAAATTTGGATTTGTCATTACCATCTCATCACTACCAACATATAAAAAGATCAGAACTACCTCATTTGATGTAAGGCAAAAAGTACCAATTCCATGGATTAAATAGTTCATTGCAATAATGAACTACTAGACTAATTTTGTTTACAAAAATCAAATTGCAGACATTCACAATGTCATCAATTTAGTTGTCAAATTATTAAGAGTCCTTACAAGGATTGTTATAATTTAGTTTTGACTAAACATAAGGTTCTAAAGTGCATAAAAGGCTTTCAAAATTACATTAGGGAAGTATATTTGCATTCGTAATGCCAGTTTAACGTATTTTTCTCATAACTATTATAGATGTATAATGTTTTTTTAGGAAAGTATGCAATTAATTTTGAAGTGTGACAGAAGTGTAGTAGATGTAAATACTGGACAGGGATTCTTATGTGCGAACTCAACACGTAATGAATAGAATAGAGAGACATTACATAAGAATTGCATTCTGTGGAAGATAGGGGTCTCAACACGTGCCGTATTGAAAGATGAGAATCCCAATGCTAATTCATTCACAAAATGCATGCTCACTCATTAAATAAAGATATGCAAACCAAATTAGCAGCTGTCTGCTTCTTTCTAATGCTGAGGCCAATGCAACAGCTCCGTCTGCATAATAATCCAAATGATTGCAATAAATAAGGGCTTAATTATGAATGAATGGATTAGTCTAGTAGTTTTTCATCATTGGTTCATTGTAATTTTTGCTGAAATTAAATCTAGTGACCCACTAGAAACATGGAGAACAAAAATACAAACGGCCTACCCTATTTAGGTGAAAATGCTGACCAACAATAATACAGAAACCATGGAGGAACAGAAACTTTCAGGATGTTTATTTAAAATTTGTAAATAGAAAAACCTGTAATAAACAATTAGGTATCTATATTAACATGTTCAGAGTATAATTTAAAAAAACTTTGCTCCTTGAATATCATCTTCAAGTATAAGCTCGCATTTTCTGTCACCTTCTAAGACCCTCAAAACTTTAATCAAAACATCTTGATTCATTCCATAAAAAGTTGTATCAATACTATCTTCACCTTGGGTAAGTTCATATAGAGTGACTACTGTATTTTGCATGCCCCTTTCATTTATGAAATCATAAACAATGGTTGCCCATTCTTCAAGTGTGTGCCAATAGATTTCCCAACGATTTTTAGCTTTGTCTACAGGCGCTGCATTACCAGTTCTTTGTAATTCTCCTAAGATAGAAATTATAATATCTGGTTCTAGTTTTCTATTAATAGTAGAATTATTAAACAGGGGACACTGATTGGTATCCCTTACATCTATGGTATAGTTTTTTGTTTTTTCACAGTAATTCAATATTAAAGATTTCCAAGCTGCAACTTGTTTAGAACGAGTTTCTGGATGCTGCTGGAGGGTGTAAAAAGGTGGAAAATTATATTGCCACGGCCAATCAATTTCTACTTCTGGCATCTTTATTTCAATATTATCTCTAAAAAGTTCTGTATCTATGAGTTCTGTTCACAAATAAAAATATTCCTTGTGTCAGGTCAGCTGTCTGTAAAAACGTAAACAAAAAATTTAGGTGTGTTCTTTTATTTAATAATTGTTCCATCAATTGCTGCGTTTGAATATCCACATCGGATGCATCTGAGATGTTGCGAATTTTTTATCACGTGATAGAGAATAAGGGGGCTATTTTCAAACTCGAGAGAATTCATTTCTCTCAAGAGAAATGTCATACGTCAACGTAAAACCGTATTTTTAGGGCTCATAGGGCCAGTGTGAACTCACTGACTGTTTCTCTCGGTTTATTTAGAGAGAATTAAAATTTCCTAAGAATTTTAATCCTCGATGCCTTTAAAAACAACATTTCCACATTGACGTATGACATTTCTGATGAGAATCTTGAGAGAAATGAGTGCTCCCATACTTTGAAAATAGCCCCCCTATAATGTAGATAGGCTTGTTCTGGGGTAGTATTCTCGAGTCACGAATATAGATTCGCATGCGAGATTTATGATTTGTCTCACTTGGTTTTCGTTCAACAAAGTGAGACACATTGTAAAACACGTATGCGAATGTCGGTATTCGTGATTCGAGAATACTACCCCTGGTTTCTTTAAAATGTACTGCAAGCCACAGAATAATAACTATTAATAATAAAAGTATTCTGTGCTGCAAACCGTCCGTTTAATTGTGCGTCTCGTAAAACTTTTTAACTTTCCACTGGTCATCTTTCAGGGTGTCGATTCTCGACTCGTAGGAATATTTTCCTATAGGAATTTTTGACATTTTTATGTACATCGAAAATTTATGACATTTTCCTACATATAGGAAAGTGTCACAAATTCCTATTAGGCATTCCAACGACCTGTCCAAATGGCTACCAGTGGGTAATGACAGTTTAGATATGGCAACCCTGTTGTCATGTTGTCATTAACAGGGTCAATGATACATATATAGTTATATAGATTGCTCAAAGCTGGTCGTTTACGAGCGACCATATTGCCTGGCAAATATTTATTAATTTGAATCGGTTTAGCAAAAATGTGTTTTAAAACCAATTTTTAGCCTTTAGATATTTAAAAAAAAATAATTGCTTACATTTTTACTTCAAGGCATACGCTTATGTTTATTTTGAAAAATATGGATAATCAATCTATGTAACTATCTATTTCATTGACCTTGTCAAATCACCAGGTCTACAGGGTTGCCATAATTTTGCAATATCATAACCCGTCAAAGCCCACTGGTAGGCATTCAGTTTGGAATGCCTAATAGGAAAAGGTTCCTACAAGTCGAGAATTGACCCCCAGGGCAACCCAGGGGCAGAGACAATGGCCGTGTTCATCGATCTATGGTTCATCGTCGTCAAACATGTTTTAAAAGCAAAGAAACATGTTTCATAAGCGGTTGGAATGACGCTGAACGATCATTTTTGTTTACGATTTGTTTTCTCAACCTCAAATCTGTCAAAAAATGGAATGACATTTGGTTGGCACAAAGAAGGTTATGTGAATTGTTTACTTTAGTATTTTTTAAAAAAATTTGAGTTGAATTGATTTGTACAGTGAATTAGAGTTTATATAAGTACCCTTCTGAAAGTGGTTTTGACAATTTTACGGCGAAAAACCTACAACTTGTATTATTTTGGGTTGTAAAGTCATGATGTTTTTATTGCCTCTATGGATCTTGAATTCTACATACATACTTAGACTAATCAAAGAAATTGTAATAGTCATTTTATTACAGGTAAAATACATTTTTTTGACACACAAATAAAAACATACTGTAACTAGATCATACTTTGAAGAGCAGAATGAGAATGCTATTTATTGTGTATTGTGTTTAATCAACTGTCTGGTCTGCACCAATAAATTAAAGTAAAGGAACTCATGATACTAATAACATACATCTCAAAAAGTGATCTTTTTACATATATCAAGGATACATAAAAGTGTATAATAATAGAGACATCAAGTATGACTTTCTTATTTTTAGGAAAACAGAGTTCCTTCGAAGTTAGTAATCATTTAAACTGGACTCCAGCCCAGAACTTGAGGCATGTGTCTCAAACCAGTTCAAAACTAACTGAATCGAAAAAGGAGGAAGAGATAAAAATAAAAATCAACCTGAAGTAAACTTTTATTTTTGAGTCATACCTAACATCATAAGTCCCGCTTTAGGCAAGACAAACCTATTTTCAAGCTATGTGTACCATTGTCCCCAAAGAATGCAAAAATGTCCCGCTTTAAAAGAAAATGTGATCTGATTCAAAACATTTTTCAAAAAAGAGTGGTATCTCATATAAATATGTGCTAGTGAAAAAACTTACTTAATTTGAAGTATCAGTATTGAAAGCCAAGCATAACATAAACAAGTCACGTCAACAGTTCCACTCCCATTTAAAAACTAAAATATAGAAAATCAGCCCACTAAACAAGTTTTATTTCGCTTTTCTAATTTTTAATAAATAAACATAAAATTCTGTTATTTCACTTATTTTTAATACATTTTTTTATTATATTATTGTTTTACTTTTACTACAATCTTACTGTTGTTATTCTACATTAAAAATAATGAAAAATTGCTTTTTAAAATTTACAGGCTTCTTGCTGTGAGGTAAGAAATGATAACGTTTTATTACAAAAACCGAAAATTGTTAAAATAATCCCTATCTAATGCTTTACTTATTTTTTTACAAAGTATTTTTTATGTAGGTACTTAGGTGTTATACATTTTTGGTCATTGCTAATATTCATTGAGTCTGAATTATTTTTATGTATCCATAAAATTTGTCTAGTATTATAGAGTTATACATACCTTGTCGACAAACTACATACAGTAATTCTTTTATAGGAATGATATATTTTGTATTGGAAATTAATAAATATACAAATTTAATGTTGTCATATAGGTAGAGCGACTTATTAGCAAAAATTATTTGAAATGTATACAGTAATGAGGTATTTTTTTATAGGTTCAACAAACCAAGATGGGCCCTTTTTAATATAATTGCTTATATTTAATTTATTTTGTAAATAAAATGTCATACTTTTATTATTATTTATTTTTTAATGCCCTATATACATTGCATGACAACAAAAAACATCGGTGCAGTTTTAATAACAAAACTCGTCTGTTTTGAATAACTCTGTGCTAAAACTATATAATATGTAGGTATGTTATATTATCCATATTCCTTACTGGTGGAATCCCATTAACGTCCAAATAAAATAATTTAAGCATACGTGTATGTATCTACGTCTGGAATTAATTTTAGTTTCTTCAAACAGGTACCTCCATAAATACAATATTATATTAAAATGCAACTTAACTAATCAACTCTATTAGGGTATAAAACCTTAAAAATATAAATAAATAAACAAACACATAACCTAACAAAATGCCAGAAGACGGAATTGACAGGGGTTCAAGGTCAATTTTATGCTTTTAAAGCGAACAAGCGAGTTTATTTTCGCTTTTATGCTTCTTCAAAAGCGCTGCAGCGGTTGACAGTTCATCGTCACCGCTTACTCAGCGTTACAACATGTTTGACGACGATGAACACGGCCAATCCAAGGCCCGTATTTTGCTGCGTTTGAGAATCCACATCGGATGCATCTGAGATGTAAAAAATCTTTGATCACGTGATTCAGTATACGTAAATGTAATGGGACAGGGGCCCAATTCCTGACGCCTTCGTTAACTTATCGCATACGATAACGTATGCGACTTGATGAAAGTGTATTCCTGAACTGGCGGCATCACAAAGCATGTATCTTCTAGAGACCCCACGCCAATGTTAAACTTTTAAACCAAATTAGCGCCACCTTGTGTTTGGAGCTGGAACTAAAATGACAATTGACAGATGGCGGTAAATTCAAATTGTAATTTTTAGGAGTAGGTAGTAGTTTTAAATTAAATTTTAAATGATTTCCACATAAATTATTTTATAAAATAAAATATGGAACTAGTAAGTTCGAAACTTTTATTTTACAAAATAATTTAGGTCGATTATACCAAATTTGAAGAATTAATTTGTTATAAGGGGACTAATGTGGAGAGTTGGTTCTGCATATTTTTATTAAATAAATATAAGATATATCAATAAATAATAAAATAGAACATTCTTAAAATATGTTTATTAATAACTTAAATAAATATTATTAGATAAAAATAAATACAAATAATAATACATATTTAAGGAATACTTACTTGGAGCAAATAGATATATAATCTCAAATCTTTAAAATACCTATCAATAATTTAAATGTGAAGTAGAGACTAGGATATTACATTTTATTAACACTAAAGTTATATATTTTATAAATGTCTTTTTAACTGAGGACAAATGTAATACAGGTATTGTATTAAAAGGTGAATCCTTTTAACTATTCATTCAATGATAAATAGGTATTTTCCTTCCAAATACAGATGGTGGTATTACTCTCTTATGTGAAAAATGATTTCGGAATCTAGTCCAGTGATAAATTGATTATCAATTAGTTATTGTCCCCGTTTATCTTTTTATGATGCAGATGCATGGTGAATATATGGTGAATCAATGAAGTTTTTCTCGAAGTTTTCAACGTAGCACCAAAATTATTGCAAAACACAGTAGGAAATAAAAAAGCGAAACATCACAATTTTGCAAATAACGAAGACGAAACTATAAACAGAAACCAAAAGCCAAAGCCAACAAAAAATCACTAAAATCAGACGGAAAAATGAAACTAACCAAGAACATAAATAAATACACGTCACATCTTTGGAGTCTTTGGTTAAGTTTTTCTCCCATAAGACTTAAAAATGGAGTAAGAAATCATAATTTCACCAGTAGCCCCATCTAGAGTTTGGAGCAAATAGCATAAAAAATGTCAGTTGTCGGTTTTGACCTTGGTCATTCACGTGGAACCTCTATGTGCTTTGTGGGCGGCATTCGTCAAATTTATTAACGTATGCGCTAAGAAATGATGATTTTCAAAGAGCGCTCATGACCGTTCGACAACTACTTTGTCGCATTCGTTT